CAAATGTATATTCATTATTTCTAAAAATAAAATTAGACTTTTCCAATTCTTAACATCTGCATTTAATATCTTCTAACCAAAATACAGATGTTAAAACAGCAAATTACAATATATCTTGTACAGCATACAGTATGTTCACTGTTTACACTTACTTTAATTCTAGTTGGTCATTATGTACTCAATGCATAAACATCACTCATAATAAAATTTTCACAATTAACAAAAATGTGACAAGGCTGTCTTAAAACGGCTCTGCTATAAATTGTATAGAATATACAGAATTACAAAGTCAAGTATTTTTTATCAAAATATACACCCCTCCCTGAAACTAACACAAGCTATCAACATTTTAAATGAATACAATTATAGAAAATATTTGCAAAATTATTTTTTCGTGTATAAATATTCTGCCATATTTACTTTGGTCTAGAATTATCAGCATACAAGTCCACTTAAAAAATATCCACATGTAAGGGCTGGGAGACATCACTACACATAATAATTTTATATTTGGGGTTAAGTCAAATCAAAATGACTAGAATATACAGTAATTCTTCTTGATTCATAATCCTAACAGATAAAACAAATTAGATCACAGGATTGCTTATTCAATATTCTAATTATCAATTCAAAAATGATTTTCATAAGCCCTTTGTGACTATCTCTTTAACAAAACCCAAATGAATAGTGTAGGTGTACATATATACAATGTATAAAATAAAGTTGAATTTGCTTGCATTTTGCCATTTTCCTCTACTATATAATACTGTATGTAAGTGAAAGTAGATGAACAAAAGATAAATGCAGATACAATATTGGGGTTACTTTAATAGCAAAGTACTACAGTATAAAAAGGTCAACTTTAATCATGTCCTTTCCTGGGCATTTCAATGCTTTCTTGCCCACCCAGATCCATACTAAGTCTTCTTCCTGGAGACGTCACGACACTTGTAGAGAGCAGCCAGAGTCCTCTGAGCTACTTCTTCATGATGATAACCTTCCAACCTTGGATAATCTTGGGTTTCCATCTATCGAATCCAGTGAATATGAACGGCTGCAGGTCACTCAAACTGGGTTCTGGATTCTGCTCATACAGGTTGGTGATCAAAGGGTAGGAATGTTTTCTCTCTCCCTCCTATTCTGGCAGTTTCAAAAGAAAGAATCATGAGTTCCAGCTTTTCAGGAACCTAGTCCACATGACGGAATATCCTGTAGGGCAATTAGATATGAGGACAGTGTTGATGGTGTGGGTCAGTGTAAAAAGAACATTAAAAAACTTAAGTGGGTTTTAAGCAAGGGACCTAGAAGGCTGCAAATATGAAGACAAAGCTTCTGGTATGTTTGTGGGTATATTTCTGAGTCACATAAGGGATAGAACCTTGTTACTCCACATCCTACCTCCCACCCCCCAAAAAGAAAGCTACTGTTTTAAGCAAGGAAGGTCATCACTTCTTCTTGCCCACTCAAGTCACTAATGGGTGGGGTCTTGTTGTCATTGTGTTTTATACTACTATGCACTTGAGGGCAGCATAATCTCCAAGGCGGCTAGTAATTGTAGGGATGAGGCTTCCTGTCACTTTCAAGTGCCTGGGAATTCACTACCACGTGTGTGCCTTGAGCTAAATCTCCTGGACACTCCACTCCTTCAGTGGAATGGGAGATGTCAAGTTTACCTGAACCCTTAAGTCTGTCTGGAATAGACCCCCACACATCCATGGCCTTGTGATGGCTGGAAGACTGCAGAGTTTCAGAAGTATTTGACCCTCTTTCCTTCTCTGAGGTGAGGCCATTGCAAGGTAATATGCAGCACAGGTAATCACAGGTAAATTCTGGGAGGGCTTTCCCCCATAGATAAGGCATGACCTATGTTTTCTGTGACTTGCGAGACCAGTTCTAATAACAGCTCAGACATAACTTCAAGAGAATAGCATTCCATCTAAAAGCATTCACATGCTCTTAAATCATATTCAAAATGCTTTCTATGGATTTTGACATCAGTCCTCATTATTTGCAGATCTATTGCTCACCATAATTCTCTAGAGGGGATATGGACAGTTAAACGTTATAGTGATTTATATATGTATTTTACAAGGTTGTGTTGCAGAAAAGTAGTTCTAGATTATGTCCTACTTTAGGTTACTCATTACACACATATTTGCAGTTATATTGTTAAGTATTTCATAGGTATCCATTAATTTAAACAAACTTTAATAGCGCAGAAGCCAGATGGGATTAAAGACTGTCACAGCTCATTTACCATTGAACATATTTATGAAGATGCCATCTTCAGGATATCTGACTCCTATTTTCTCCAGTGACTAAAGACAGTTCAGCAGCCAGTTCCTACTAGCATTTACTAGGAAGTTTTAAATTAGGCTAAAATTAAACTTTTTTCACTGGTAGAAATACCACAGCTAAGAACTTCATTAACTTTCAGAAGGTACTTAGGATATTGGAGGATTCAGCTATTTTGTTTTTATGCACTTTTCATGAAGTTAATGCTAAAACCCAAAGTAGATACTAGGATCCTTTTTCTGGAATTTTCACAAATGAATTTTTTTTTTAACATTTCACTCCTTCATGGCTGTCATGTGAACAAAACTAAACTTAAAAAAAAAAACTAACTAAAAAACACCAACTTATATTTTTGAAGATTTTTCTAACTATTGCCACTCAAAGGACATTTTCAACAATGGTTTGAACGTAATCCTTTTGGTCATTGTCTTCTGAATCAATGAAATGTTGATTCTCCAAAGGATTTGAGTTTTCATGGCATGTGTTACCTATTTTCTCCTGCTGACTTGGGCTTTTGAATAAGTGTTTCTTTTGGTGCATTCCAAGGGCAGCAGCTGTTTTGCAAATTTTGGGGCACTGGAAGCAGGCATAGCCCTTCCCGTTGTGCTCCCGAATATGCCTCTGCTCATGATTCCTTTTGGTGGAGAGATACAAAAAACTCTGAAAGCAGAACTGACAGTGATACCGCTTTTCACCAGTATGGATTCTTTCGTGGATTTTGAGGGTCTCATTCAAGGTGAATGCCTTGTTGCAATACTGACAGATGAACTCCTTCAAGCCCAGGTGGATGCGTTCGTGTTTCTGTAAGTTTCCTTGCACTGAAAAACACCGTCCACAGGTCTTGCACTGGTATGGCTTCTCTCCGGTGTGGCATCTCATGTGCATTTTCAGCGTGGAAGGGCTCTGGAACTGCTTGGCGCAGAGCTCACACGTGTAAGGCCTGGAAGTGAGATGCCGGTGGGGCCTGCCTTGGTTTCCAGCCCCAGATGCCTTGTCTCCGTCACAGAGTTCACACTGCAGCTTGGGCATCTCTTTGTTTTCCTCTTCCTCGAAGGCCTTATCCTGAGGGGCCTTGCCCACAGCACAGTCCAGCTCTGCCGGGTATTTACACTTGCTGCTTGGGCTCCTATTTCCGTGCTCTTTCCTCCAGTTGACTTTCTTCATTTTTCTCAACTGTCTGGATTTCTTTTTGGGTTTGTAGTTGTAGTAAGGGCGCCACGGTTTATCAGTGGAGTCCTGGTCGCTTGCGTCATCAAACACTTCGCTCATCTCTACGCACTCGGACTGGCAAAGGTCGAGCGGGCCGTCTCCGTTGGGTTCTGGGTCGCTCTTCTGTGGCAACGTCTCCTCCTGCATTTGATACTTGGGTCTTCTCCCTCTTTTATAAAACAATTTAGATCCTAGAATATGCCTTTTCACAATGGCTTCATTCCCAATTTTCACTGTTATTTGGCAAAGGGGTGCAACGTTGCTATTTGTGGAGGTTCCAGGCAGAGCAGGTTTCGCAATGTAGGTTTCGATTTTACTGGTTTCTTCAACGATATTTGTGGCTTTGCTCAATGACCCTCCAGGATCAGCAACGTATTTTGACTCCTCTGGTATTTCTCCCCTGTTATAGGGTACAGTTTTCTTCTTCTCCTTAATGCTTTTGGGTCTGCTTGCAAATCTACCCACTTTATCTGGCTCGGGTTTACTGTTGTCTTTCAGGGACTGACTGGCAGCTGGGTCTGGAAGGGCTCTGTGGTTGCTGCTGGTCACGGCAGCAACGGCATTGCTGTGCATTATCACCGATGAGAACTGGCTGCTATGCACAATGACCGAGGGTGCTGAGCCACTGTAGCTGATCACAGAGGCTGGGTTCTCACTGCCATTATTCAAGGACAAAACAGGTGCATCCCCTGCCTGCAGGCCAGAACTGACGGCATTTTCAGTGGAAGAAACTGATACCTCAGTAGAATAAAAGTTACCATCAAGATCAATTTTCAATGTCTCCCCTCCCCATTTGGTGCCCTCTGTATTTTGTACATTGGCAGAAGTGGGTATGTCCTGACAAGCAGATGTTTCCAACGGGACGGCTGGACTGTTGGTTAAGGTGTTTACATTATCTTGGAAATTCAGGGTAGGTAATTCAGAGCTGTGTGGATTCTGAACAATATAGGGACCAGGTGCAGACTCATTCATGTGACCGCTTTCTCGAGCATTTTCATAGGAAGAATTTCGGTAGCTCTTATAAGGAGCTCTCTTGCATTTCATAGGCAGTAGCCTATAAAGTTTATATGGATAGACACTAGGCTTCAAGCCTCCATTTGCTGTTTTTTTACTGATGGAAAGTCTGTGATCTATGGCATGGAAAGACTTTTGATGGTTTTTGAGTATATAGTAGGTCATGAAAGTTTCAAGACAGAAAATGCACTGATACCTCCTTTCTCCCGTATGCCAAATTTCATGTCTTGTCCTGTACTCAGCCAATGCAAATACTTTGTTGCAGTAATGGCAAGGATACGTTCTTCTCCATGAGTGAACATTTGCATGTCTTCGGAGGCTGGATAAAGTCACATAACTACGTTTGCACACAACACAACTGTAGAGCATTTGCCCATTAACAAATTTAACCATGTGGTCTGTGTCTGGCAAGGTACTTCCAGTACTGGAAAATTCACCAATCCTATTTTCAGATAATAAAGCTTCTGGACCTGTGAATGAACCACCATTTTGTCCAATGGTAGGATAGTTTTCTAAAAAGCGCTGGTTTCCTCCAGGAATGGGCATGTGGCTTGATCTCATACAGATCTGTTCATGCCGATCCAAACGGTTCAGGGTGGTGAACTGTTTGTTGCAGTACTTGCACACTAAAGGCTCCTGGGTCGGCTTGTGAAGCTGCATGTGGGCACTGAGCAGAGTGCTACTGTCAAAGGATTTGGAACAACAGCTACAATTGTAAACGAGAGGTGGAACCTCTGCTGCCGGCGGCCCGGGAACATCAGAAGGTTGATTTTCATCTTCCTTGGAAGAGTGGACATCTCCTTCATTGTTGGGAGATTTTGAACGAGAAAGAATTGCAGCTGGCTGTGGACTTTTTTCTTGATTAACCTCTACGTTGGTTACTAGAGGGAGTGGTGTATTTTCTGCAGTTGAATCAGAATCCTGGGGGATGGAGGATGTCTTTGGCTTTCGGCATGTTTTCGGTTTTGCTGCAAGAGCTTCACAATTTTCTTTACCTGTCTGACCAGGTGAACTGCTATCGTGTTCACGCGCAGGTTGACTTTTGTAAGCCTCAGCTGCGGAAGAAACAGCATATGAGTGCTCTGCGAGTGTGCGGACAGGCTCGGCCTCGTGGCAGACCTCTGTCCTCTCTAGGCAAAGGCTAGCTGTTCTCATGGAATCAGAGACCTTTTTGAAACTAGCCCTCAAGTCCAGTGGAGAAAACATGTTATTACTATTTTCTGTTTCAATGATGGAAAATGCATTTGTGATCCTTGGCCCATTAGTGATGGCTGGTTCTTCATGCCTTTTTTCATTTTTTTCTTCTTTAACGACTCCCTTTTCAGTAATGCAGAATACATAGGGACCTGGGGAATTTGAGAAGTTGCGATCAGTAAGATCTTCCAGGAATGATATCCCCAGCTTTTTTCCTGCAGCTGCAAGGTCAGTGACTGTTTCCTGTCTCTTGACAACAACTGTGGAGCTGTAGATATAATTAAGTATCTCTGTAAACACTTCAGCTTTGAGATCGTCCAGCTCCAGGACGTGGCTGGAAATACAGATTGTATGGCTCCAAAAGATATTTTTGAAATAAAGGCTCGAAGCTGCCAGGACATTGCTGTGGGCTTTAAATTTGGTATCTTCTACAATGATAGTGACATCACATAAAATGCCCCGGATACGCTGCTCATTTAAGATGGAGAGCACTGTGTCACTGTGGAAGTCGTCCTTGAGGTCCCTGGAAAGGGACATGACTGTCATCTGGAACGAGAGGAGAGAAATGGTCACAGACCCTTCCACAAGTGGTTTCTTTGTTTCTAGACTATTTTCAACTTCTGTGAACAACTTTTTCTATGAAAATTCAGGTTTTTATCTCATTCTATTGATGCTCCCAAGACTTAGAGTCAACATTAGAAGCTAAATCTTTTTCTTGTCCCAGCCTGTTTCTCATACCATTGCTAATAGCTGTTATAGTTGGAAATCCTCCCAGAACACCTTCCCCTTTTCTCCAAAGTTGCAGGTATATATACACGTCCAAATTTGGGAGGGGAGGAGTTTTTGGTTTTGTTAATCTAAATGTTAAGTGTCTCATCACCACTCAAGGCTGCTGCTGTCAACCCCTAGAGCTGGGCAATGCCATGGTCCTGCACAAGCTTCCTACCTATTTCCAGAGATAACCCTGATGATCCGATCCAAACATAATCCATGCAGCAGGAAAATTAGTTTTTAAAAAAGGGCTTTCTCCATGTAAGTGGCACCTATATGCAAAGATATTGCCTTTCCAGAGAAGAAGCAGGAATGGAAGGAGCCATCCTAACTTGTGGCTCTGAAGCGTTTCTCAATGGAGAGCTGCAGTCTGTGTGACCGAGTCCGACCACCAGGGGCACCCGAACTCTCTGCGCTACTGCGGCGGAGTACTGCCCTGTACTACTCCTTGTCCGGACCCATCCCATTCCTTTTCTAATTTTCCTGTTATTATAGACAAAGTAGACCAGGGTTTTCAAAAAGAACACTGTCAGGTACTGAAAGCAAAAAAAAGGAGACACAACACAAAGCCAGGAAAGGACGTTTCTAAGTCTATAATAATGAATCTAGTCATGGGTTCCTAAATTCACACAATTTAAAGGCACAGTGGCTCTTGTTCCGGTCTGAGGATCCCATCTCTGCTCTTCCCTATATGTGCCCTATACATATATAGTTCCTGTTATTCTCTATGTAAGTCCTATGCCATAAGCCTGGGACGGCCAGGGCCTACCAACTAATAGTCTAGTGGAGGACAGTCAAAAGCAGTGGCTTTCAAATTCACCCACAGTAAGAAATACATGGCACATAGTGACTTAAGACGCAAATGAAATTAACTCTTACTCTTACTAGGTGTGATGCATTCTGTTCTAGTTATCTTTCATTTTTAAAAATGATAACAGTAACTCACTAATTTCACTACCCACTAACAGATCATCCCTGCAATTAAAAATAAAACAAAAAATCCTCTGGTCTATGGGACATACTAACCAGCTATTCCAGCAGTCCCTCTGTGCTATCCCATATCAAGTGACGTCTCCAGAAAGCCATACCGCTTGATATTTCTTTAACTCTCTGTGGCGATGTTTTCCTAGTGCTGGAGTATAACATTAGCTCACGGCATTCATTCAGTTGGAAAGACCAGATGGCCACACAAAGGACGTCTCTTTACCTTTTTGTAAATCTGCTATTATAAGCTGTGCCTATCGTGTTATTTAGTATCCTTTACACAAGGATCCGCTTGATAAATTCTTTTCTCACATTCAGCCATAGGAAAAAAACTACCTTTCTGCTAACAAATTCTTCGGTTTAGATAATGAGAACACTACATTCACCATGTTTCTGTTTTAACTCCCAAGACAAAGAAGCTCAGAACTAACTTTTATCGTCGATTGTTGTAGCCATTCTTAGCCTGGGTTTCTGGTATGACTATTGTCTCACTTTATTTAACATTAGTTCTGCTCTTGTTTACTCTGCTTTAATTGTCATCTTCTATGAATCCCTTCTAGAAGTGTGTGGGATTATTTCTACAAATAAAAATAGAATTAAATGAAATGGAATCTTTATGGCTCCCTCTGTGCCTCTGAAAAGAGAACGGGCCGCCCCTGAGTGAAGGAGTCTGTCCTTCACTGTGTTACAGATCAATAATATACTTTGCTGACGTTTCCTTTGTCTTCCTTGAGGTCTCTCTGCGCTGAGCCTCTGAAAGATCTAGTTCCTCTCCTGACTCGTATTCTTATCCTGTTCAGTTTCTCTGAAGCCCATATATTATTTCAACTCTTTATCCAGCCTGACTAGATAATCTCAGATCTGATAAAACACACGCCATATGATTCAAAAAGTTGGCTTCTATCTTGGCTTAGCTCTATGCTGACATCATCTGTCTTGTCCTTCTAATTCAAAACCACTGCTTCTAAAACATTCCACTCCACAGCACGTTGAACTTCCCACTAGGCTCTACTTCCACTTAGGAAACACAGTATTTCACATCGGACTAATTAACACTCTAGGGTGTCCTGTCTCAGATTTATAATACATAAAGCCCCATTCCCTTCTGTGGAATTCTCTGATTCTTCTCTCAGATTGCTCAATTAGGATGGTTAGTAAAAGGCCGCCTCTTAACACTGAATAATATTTTATCCATACTTACGGTTAGAATAACATATATAATAGGAAGTATCATTATACATACACCATTAAAACATCCTCATAACTCTGGGAAATCCAAGTATGATATCTTTCAGAGGAATATTGACTTTTATGTGGCAGAAATCCTTTTAAAAATCATAGTTACTATGTAGCACCTCAATTTGCCTTCTTGACACACACACAAAAACTTCATTCTTCCATGGATTTTATCCAGCAAATAAGTTAATACCTAACATGGTCAGACACGGTGCTTGGGTGCTGGAGATATGGAGGTGAGCAAGGCAAATCTCCGTTCTCAAGAACTCGGCGTCTAGGGCAAGAAAGAGAACTGTCAACTCATCACTGGCATCCAGGATGGCAGGACTTACGCCAGAGGTGAGTACAAAATGTTAGAAGATTAAGTGGCAACTGAGTATTTACAGTGGCCCTGGATTGCTTGGCATCAATACATAAAACAGGTGTATGGGAAGGATGTTCTAAGCAGAAGAAACACTATGGGCAAAATAAAAAAAAAAAACAAAAACAATCAAAGGGTGTACTGTCCTCAGAAACGGATGGGGCAGGAGCAGCATGCGCTGCCCAGTCCCCAGCATCACGGCAGTGCCAGGCACATGGCAGCCCCAGCGTGGATCTGTTGAATGAGATGGCCTAGGAAAGGGAGGGTCAGACCAGATCATAAAGGGTCTAAAGGGCTCCTCACAGCAAACTTTACACTGCAGCTAACAGGGAACCATTGAGAGTCATGATCAGATTTAAGTTTTAAAAAATCATGTAGGCTTCGATGTGTTGAAAGGCTCAGAGGGAGGCAGACTGGATGCAGGACACCACATAAGAGGCCATCCTAGTCCAGGTGAGAAGTAGCCCATCCACCCCAGGCAGAGTGAGAGCCTGGGGAAAAGCACATGGCCCCACTCCCAGCTAACAAAGTGGGATGGGGGTGGTGGAGGTGTGGTGGTATCTGAACTCAAAATGTAGATGAATTCCCCCAACAAATACTTATTGAACTTCCAGGCAGAAGGCATCAGGTAAATACTAGAGGAGCAAAGAGTTCATTCCCCCTTTGAACAAATGCTTACTGAGTACCTACTATATGCTTCGAGACAGTGATTCTTAAACCTGGCTATGCATCAAATCTCCTGCAGAGATTTGGGTTTAGAATAGCTGGAGTGAGACCCTGGAATCCATATGTATTTCTGTGCCTTAATTTATTTTGTGAATAAGTAATACATTCATACAATTCCATATTGAAAAGGCCCAAAGAGTAACACATTGGAAAGTCTCCTTCCCATCTTGTCTCTTAGGTGCACTGTGTCTCAGGTGGTTTTTCATCAACCAGCCAGAAACAAGCCTAAGGGCTGACACCAAAACCCAGCGCCATAAGAGAAATGAAAATTCTGCCCTCCAAGGCTTGCGGGGGAAATAAGATGCATTCACGAAACACTGCAAAACAAAGATACCCAGGGAACATACAGGATCAGGTGCGCAAGGAGAAGGTTAAGGGAGTTCAGAGGAGAGTGGCTCGGGAAGGGTGTGAGGGAGGCAGAGGCGAGAGGCTCAGAAACTCCCTGTAGGAGGAAGTGACATTTACTGCATCTTGATGGGCAGAATTTGGCTCTGTAGATACAGACAAATGGAGAAAAGAGAATTTCAGGCAGAAAGAGCCAGAGTTTCCTGCCCTTACGAAATTTATGATCGAGTAGCCAATGCAACATCTTCAAACAAAGAATCCAAGTCTGCCAATGCAATTTAGAAAACAGTGAGACTTGTTAAAGAGGCAATTTAAAGTCTTTAAGACTCTAGTACCCACCTATCCAATCTTAACAGTGCCCTCTACCTAAACCACCAAGTTTTGTCATAAATGCCTTCAGAGTATAGTTATCCAGAGTATAGTTATCCTCTCTGGATGATCTCAGAACATGCTATGGCTGAAAACCATTCCACATGTCCAAAGTGCAACCAAGAAATGTGTTCCAATCTGTAGACCAGAGGAGACCCGCTATAGGCCATGTGGCAAATCTGGTCCCACAGGTTTCATTTGACCCATGTGGTTTTTGAAATTGGGTTTTTGAAAAACTTGGCTAACCATGTTGAAAAACTCTAAGATTTAACACAAAAATCAACATGCCTTTTCCTGAAAAAATAGGAAGCCCAGGGAACACTGGGGTTGTTGCCCGCCTGGCAGGGACGGGCGCCGAGTAGCTATGTCTCCATCGTGCACACCCCGCCTGCCCAGGCCTTCAGCACTGGGCGGCTTCTCACAGTAACACAGCCTGCCTGGCCCCCCCAGCAGGTTCAGTCTGTGCTACCAATAAGAACAGTAAGTAAAATAACATGGGACCCACAGGGCTTATCAGACAGACTTAAAGGATATCTCCAAGATGAAAATTAAGACTTATAAAAGAGCTCATGGGGGAGGAGTACAGTCATTCTCATCAAAAAACAATATTCTTTGACTTTAAAAAGTCAAGTTACCTTACAGCAACCTCTTCTACTACATTTCTTCATAAAGAGTAACTGAAAACAGAAATCTTAGGAGCTCCTGCCAATAGTAAGCCCACAACAGATTTCACAAAAAGAAATACAAGTTAGAA